AACTTGTGTCTGGCTTCCCCAGACTCACTCTGTGCACCGTTCCCTTTGCTGATTTTGCTTTGTATTCTTTTTCTGTAATAAATCACAGCTGAAGATATGACTAGATGCTGAGTCCTGTTGAGTCTCTCCAGAGAATCATCGAGCCCAGGGGTGTAGTCTTAGGGATTCCTGACAGCTGAGAATTAAGTGTGAAAGGTTCAACACGCAGCAGAAGGCGAGTGTGATGGAATCACATGAGTGACAGAGATGAGGTCAGACAGGAGGGGCTCAATCATTTAAAGCCTTGTTTGGATTTCATTCTCAACGTGGCGGGAAGCCACTGGCGGCTTGTGGACAGGAAGGAGGACCAGTCTGGCTGCTGTTAGATAACTGGCCTCCGGGGGAAAGGGTGCAAACGGGGGCACTGGATGGGAAGTCCTTTCACACAAGAGACTCTTAGCTACCTCAGGAACTGCTTCGGAAAAGAGAAGCCCAAGTTTGGCTTTCAAGATGAGCAGAAATGTGACACATGGATCTGGGTGAGGAGGTGAGCAAGGTATCCCAAGCGGTGGGGCGAGCCTGTACAAAGGCCCAGAGGCACAAGCCTCTGAAGAAGGATGATGGGCTTAGTCTCCTTGGAAAAAGGCACATGGAGGGGAAGGTTCGGGAGATGAAGCCACAGAAGGTGGTGGCCATGCGAACAGAGAGGCTATGTCAGTCACCCTGGGGAGCAAGGACTTCATTTCACAGGTGAGTGGGAGCTAATGGGAGTTGTAGACAGGGAAGTGACAGGATCACATTTGGGTTTTAGGAAGATCAGTATGGCAGAGACACGGACGAGAGGCTGACAGAGGAAGCAAGTCTAGAAGTTAGCTGTCATATAACCCAGTTCTAATGCAACTGTGACCGCACACACCAAGTCATGCAGACACAACGCATGTTTCACGTACATACGTAGGTCCTCTCATGTACTGAGAACACATGAAAACGAATGAAAAGAAAAAAACAATTACTGAAAAACTGAACAATCTAAATGTTTAAAAAGTTCCTGCTATGACCACACACAGCATTGCTGAAGTGATTTTTAAAACACATCATGCTACAAATCACTAGTAAAATATACACTAAGAACAAAAAGAACCTCAACGAAATCTTAAAGCTACATTCAGCGACCTTACTGTTAGTGGTATGGTTGCCATTGTTATTTTGAAATGATATATCCTTTGCTTATTTGTCTGACTGAAGTAAGGTAACATCCATGTTGTTAGGTACCAGCACCAGGGCAAAGAGACCCCAACATAAAAACAAAGAAGCAAAGATCCTGACGGGTAGAAAGGACTAGTGGCAGCCCTGAAATCCATTCTCTCCTTTCACTGTCCGAGAGACAGAGGGGTGGGATCAAACCATCTAAGAAACACGCCAAGAGGCCTTCCGGTTAGCACCAGGAGAGTCCCTACTTGTGCACTGCTTTAGCTGGCTGGAGCTGGTTTATGCAGGCTGCTCACTGTGCAGAGGCCCAGGATGTCAGTATTTCCCAGGCATGACTTCCTAGAAAACACCACGCAAGTCATGCAGTTATCAGGGAATACCCTGAAGACTTTTGATAACTGAAATAGCTCCCTATTGTGGTGCTGACACTCCACATGCATCGGTCAAAGCTGTCCTAAGTTAAAATCGTGTGTTAAAGTCAGCCAGGGCGCATCTTAAATGCGGCAAGACAGGACCCGGGAGCGGCTCTGGCGGCCTCAGACCTGTGACCTGTGTCTTGTGACAGTTAGATCTTTGAACGCATTAGTCAAGTTGGACTTTAGGTAGGATCTTGGATTCTTGTGAAATCAATTTGTCAGTCTGACCCTTTGTTATCTCACCTGTAATATTCAATCTGAACTGGAAAGAAATCAATATGAATGTTTTATTTCCTAACTCACTGACCAAAAAAAGTCTATTAGTAATGATAACGCAGCTGCAATGCATATCCTTGGTGTCTAGATTATGCTCTCCAAAATACAATTTCCCACTAAAAGGAGGGCTGAGATTCATTTTTAGGTCAGGAAACATATAAGATGAATTTGGGACATCTTGTCCCGCCTAAAAAGAAAAAAAAAAAAGTTTAAAAGTTACCTACAATTAGTCAAAAAGCACAAAGGAATAAACTTAAAGGGACTCTCAATAGCCAAAAATGGAAAAATGTAAGCAATAGAATGATTACAAAACAGTAACGCACAGATATATAAAATCCATGGATTTCTAATGATGCTCAAAAGCAAAGCAAAACAAACAGAAATGAAAACATATTCACAGGTCTCTTTTGCAGGTTGCTAGGGTACCAAATCATTATTTGAAAATATTTCAGGGGAAAGAAGCAAGCATTTTATCCTACTATATGGACTGTATTTCTGGGTAACCAAATAGTTGATGAGAAGAGTTCTTCTTTATAAGAATCCCAGATAACAAATGCAGAAGGAATAAGTTAGAAAGTCCTATTTTGCAACTCCCACTGGAAAAGATGGATCCATACAAAGAATGAAATGGTTCTTAAAACTTCTGGGCGAAAGGTCAGTGAGGAACTTTCCAATGGCTGGATCAGGCTGACAACACGCAACCCTACTGACCAATCCCTAGAAGTGAGACAAATACTACATACCTCCCAGGTAATGCAATGGGAAGTATACAACACTGTCTATGAATATTATCAATTAAAAAAGTTTCACAGTGACAAGAGAACAGACTCTATATGATTGCAATACCTTTAGACCATGAAATTTTTGCACTGTGTTTTATGTCCCTGGATATGTTCCAGCGTCTCCTAGTTTATAGTATACAGGAACTTGAATAGAATTTGTATCCTACTGTTGTGTGAAATTATAAAAATCTTAATTATGTTGAATTGGTTCATGGCGCTTTTCAGGTCTACAATATCCTTCTACTTTTCTGTATATTTATTGGTATTTTTTGAGTTTTATATTGAAATTTCAACTAAAAAATCTCAATTTATCCACTGAAAAAATCATGGAACTATATGTAACTTTGTTCTGTATTTTCTAAGTCTCCTGTAAATATGTAATCATACTTTCATAATTTAAAAAATAAAAAAGATTCTAGATAAAAAATAATAAAAAACTGACTTCAAGGATATAATATACAACACATTGAGTATAGTTAACAATATTATATATCTGTAAGTTGCTGAGAGTAGATCTTGGAAGTTTTCTTCACAAGAAAAAGAACTGTAACTGTGTGGTAATGGATGTTAACTAAATTTGTGGTAGTCATTTCATAATATAAACATACATTAAATCAAACCAAAAAAAGACAAAATCTACCCAAGCCTTTGGACTGAACTTCTAGTTCACAGACTAGACAGCAGATAGTGGAACAAGTTCAATTACGTTACAAGAATATGACCCACTAGATCTAGAATGTGGGAAATCCTGTAGCGCAAAGGACATTCTTTCTTTAACAAATAAAATAGCACTTGAAAACGGGGAGGGAGAATTGTTACAGAATAAGAGAAACCTAAGATCTCAGTGTGGATACTGACTGAAAGAAACCAATTCCAAGAAGACACTGGAAACTGGGAAAACAGAACAGAATCTGGGTATTGGGTGATAGGAATAGGAACAATAGCTAATCTTGTGAGTGTTTTAATACCTGCATTTTATGTTTCATTGAAAAAAAAAAATCTTACTTTTAGAGATGTGTACACAGGTAAAACAACGTGGAATCTGCTTAATACCCCAGGAGGAAAAAAGAGGAAGTGCGTGCGGAGTAGCAAAGATGAAGCAAGTGCAAGAGCGCCGGTGGCTGCTGAAGCCGGGCGGCGGCGGGCACACCGGGGTCATGACGCTCTCTACTTCTGTGCTTGTTTGGAAATCTCCCGGATAAAAAAGAAAGGCATGAAAATGAATATTTGGCAAAAACTTAAAAATGGTAATACACATCTGACTGAGGGACAGGAAAAGGAGTGGTTTCAAAGGAAATAAAGAGACTTATTTTTCTGCAGAACAACTTAGCAATATGACAAAAATGTCTTAAAATTTTATATTTTACTTTCAAGGTTTACTTTTAACAACTAACTCTAAGGCAACTTCCAAAGATACATTTAAAAAATACTGTTATTGTACATTTACATGAAAAAATATTTATAGGCATTAACCATCAAATTGTAAAAGAATATTAAATAATAAGGAGAAATGTTCAAGATTAACTGTTATGTGCAAATGCAGGCTGTAAAACAGTATATACATTCTGAACTAATTCAGTCTTCTTAAAACCAAACATCTGCAAAAAAGCCTGAAAGAGTCTCCATTATGTTAACAGCTGTTACTTCTAATTGACAGGATTAAGGTACTTTTAATTTTTAAACAGCAGTTTCTCTTTTTGTATATTTGCAATAAATTATGTTTTTAAAAGGTCAAATCTGGATCAGTTCTGGAGACTGCCTGCTAATAGTAAGTGGGAATGGTGGTGATCTTTAAAATGATAAATGACAGAAGGGTGGTGGGACAGGGCAGCAAAGACACATTAATAACTAATTTTTAGAAGAATAGATATTTAGCACACTGTATTGTGAGAAAGAGGAAGTCATAAATTTAAAAATTACAGTGTCAAAAAAGTGAAAATTAGAATTGGATTAAAGTCTTTATGTAGGCTTCAACTGGAGAGGGATAAACACCTAAATCAAATTACCCAGGATGACTGAAAAGATTACTGCAGTGAAAATCCTAACAGTTCTGAAAGTAAGCAAAGCCGCACTTGAGACAGCCCTCCCTGCCTGAGCTCCTATTCTGTGCGCCACTCTGATGCGTTATCACATACCGGACTCCTGAACATCAGCATGACACAACAGCAATACTGACGATCGAATTCAGCTCATGCAACACACTCTGTAAAATTATACTCTACACATCATATGTGGTGAACAATCAGTACAACAGGACTTCTGTACCCTCTACGCTGGCTTTAAAATTTCAGCTGCCTCCTTGCTACATCAGAGGAAACAAACAAAACGTCCAGCCTACCTGGTGTCCGTACTTTCGTCGGCTCTTCATAGTCCTTGTTGTCTGGGTTTGGAGATTCTAGAAAGCTGATTTCTTCTGCGATGCTTTCCCCTTCTTGGCTTCTGAGGTTGTCTTCCTCTTCTTGAGGAGGTGATTCCAATTCAGATTCTTCTGAATCAAGGAATATCTGACCAGCGATTACTCTGCCTGCTGGGCTGTGGTTCTCCACCGACTCATCTGACGGCACAGAAGCCTGAGAATACGAAGTACCTTTAGTTACCAACAGTAGTAAGACTCCCTCCAATCTAATCTGACCATTACTTTCACTAATTCAGACACAGCTCCTTGAACGTGTCCTGCTTGTTTGCCTCTACAGACTCTGCTATCTGCCTATCACGGGCCCTCATCACCTGCCTAAACCTGACTGTACGGATTTCAACTTGGATGTTACTTCCCCCCAAGAAGCCTTCCTTAAATCCCCCAAGTCTTGGTTATGGTCTTCCCCTCCTTGCTCCCACTATATCTCATACTTCCCTGTATGACAGCCCTCTACTACAACTTCCTGCTTCTTACCTGCATTCCTCCTAGACTAGAGATCAGGGATCATAAGTGATTGGTCTCTTTGAATAGGCAATAATCAACCTCATTCATTCAACCAATCAATTTAAGTGCATTAATAGATTTTGTTTTTAAAGAACTTATGTAAGTGGAAACAATGACAGAGGTTAAAAAACTAAAAAAAAGAATAAAATCAATCTCTCATTAGGCAGTAAAATGTAACTGCCTTAAGGCTCTTCAACGCACAGACGCACACACATTTAAGTTGAAATGAACCTGGTAACCAACACTCTTAATAGAAATATTTATTATTCTCTAGGGGCTCCCCATGTGACTCAGTGGTAAAGAATCCACCTGCCGATGCAGAAGCCACAGGAGATGCGGGTTTGATCCCAGGGTCGGGAAGATCCTCTGTAGGAGGAAATGACAACCCCCTCCAGTATTCTGGCCAGAATATTCCATGGACAGATGAGCCTGGCAAACTACTATTCATGGGGTCACAAAGAGTCGAATGTGACTGAGTGACTGAACATTCCAACAGGTCAGTGATTTCCATTCCACCGCCCTCCGGCCCCCAGAAGAATCAGTACTGATGCTAGCTATCTTTTTCTTTTTGAAATCCAACCCTGTTGCTCAAAAGATGCAGATTTCATATCCTTTCTAAGATACATAATTCATGCTTTTAAATTGGGCATCAAACACTGGTCAGTGCAAATCTGAGTACACACCTTGGAATCTATGGATTCATCCTGGTTGCCTTCTTCATCTGTAAAGAAATTTTAAGACAATTTAGTTGTCTTTCTTGTTTGGCAATCACAGGTATTATTAAGTGAAAGCAGCTGATAAGTATAATAAATAATCATCAGACACTAGATAATCTAGAATTATCTAAAAATTTGTTGTACGCAGAAACTGTTCAGAAAAAACCAAGTGAAAGGAAAAAGGGGTGTTGGGGGTATTTCTTCCTCTTTATCCAGGAAGGACAGCAGCTTCATCTGTTAGACAGGAAGACCAAGAACATCACCACCAAAAGCAGACATTTCTTCAGATACCATCCAGTTCTTCTGTATACAGTTAGTCCAGTACTGAGAATGAGTTACTAAATGTAGAAAATAGAGTCCTAATTGTGTGGTTTGGGATTCCACTCCTTCTTTTCCTCTGCTCAGAATCTGGAGTTACTGTAGCTTACTGTAGTGATAACTAGCCTTTTATTATTCAGTAAGGCTACTAAAGATGGACATTAAAAGAAGGATTAGCAGAGTTGCCAAAGATAGTTAGGATCTGTGTTTGACTTCACTGAAGATATACCCAGATATGTGGACTGAGAACATCACACTACCATGTATCCATTCACATGAGATCTACTTATTAGGAAACCAATACCCTGTATTACATTACCAATAAATCCAATCACTACTTGTATCTTTCTTCCAAATTTATATTAGCTGTTTTGGCTTTGTCAGATTACATTAAGATTACTTCTGTTATTCTCTCTGGATTTCTCTGTTGTTACTTCTATTCTAGCTGCTTGTTATTCTTTTTACTGCTTTATATAAACACATTCAGCAACCCAACTGGCCATTTGCAAATATTTGATCTTTGTATTCCAGTTAAAAAAACAAGTGTCAGATGATCTTTAAATTTCCTTCTTACTCGCTTCAGTATTGCCAGCTCCTTAAGTTATGTGAGAAATTAACCATAGGCAAAATGCTATAAACTATGTGATTTTTACTAGAAAATGTGGTGTTACGGTTGCCATTTACCTTTACTTCATATGATTATAACCTAAATATTATTGGTAACTTGTAACTCTTCAAAGTACAGCAAAAACATGTTTTGGAGTTTGTGTTAGCAAACTTTAAGAAGTATAACCAACTCATGTACCAAATACTCAACTCTATTTCAGGTTTTGTTTCCTTTGAATATTTCAGAAATCGGTCTACTGGTGAGGTTCTGCCACATATAAAAGTGCTATGAATTCAAAGAAAACTTAAATGATATTTTCACATTTTTTTCATTTTTACATTATTCACATTTTTCACATTATTTTCACATTCACTACTTTTAGATTACCTTCCAAATATTTTTTTCTGGTGGGCGGGGAAAAGAAGAGTACAACATATATCAGTTCCATAGGGCCTATAACATTTAGGTTTATAGGCAGTGATGTCAATTAATAAACAGTCACTCTTCGGGCTCAATTCTTCACAAGTATTACCCAAAGCCCAAGTTCTAACATATGGTTCAAAGTCCATTCTCAGCAAATCTTTGCATAAAGGAAAAAAATTCACCTCTACTACACAATTACATTGTATATGTGAATGTATCTAATTAGTCATAAACCTTAACAAGTTAATATATCAAGGGCAGACATTAAATGTGAAATGTATAGGGTATACACCCAAATTCTGAAACCTGCTATCAGTCAGAACTCTTAAATCATTAACCACCCAGCTGAGTACCCTGCCACAACAGGTCACATATGTAGCTAATAGGTAAATAATATAGATGCCTATAAATAAATTATAAAAAATGTACATCTGAGACACTACAAGCTGTTAGGCATCAGAGTAGCAGGATATGTTTTTGAGCTCCCAGAGACATGGGAACTTGTGACATCAGGGTTATTTCATACAAATTGCATCATGCTTCTCCTTCTTTTCTCTTTTAACAAACCAGGAATATATATTCAGGTTACTGGCAAATTAAAAAAATTCTCACTTACTAAACTGGGAAAGCCTACTCCAGATGGTAATCTGAAAGCATCAGCTATTTTCTTTTTCAAACTGATATGTCCATTCACATAATACTTTATAAATAAGTTTCTCATAACCTAGAAACTTATGATAGGCAGTCAGGTAAGGATGAAAAGTACTGAAGTTATGTATAAATAAAAAGAATACAGTAGTGCTTTTATCAGATTACATATATCGAGCAAGAAGAAGAAAAATGCAAAAAGGATACAGTGAAGAGTTAAGGACTTCTCACTAAACAGTACTGTATCCAAATATCATGGTATACATTACTCTGATAATCATACCCCTTGCTTTGAAAAAGACCAATTTTCAGTTTTATATTAGTTAACAAAACTGCAAAATATCAAGGATCATCTTTCTAGGGAAAGTGGTCACTACAAATTCATCTTCTAACTTGTCAAGTAGATTAAACAGAGACGGATACACTTTTAAACACAGAAAGTCTGGAAAGTTCAGTGAAAAGAGACCAGACATCCTGTTTTTGGATTTGCCACTGAAATCTGCGCAGATCCTAGGATACTGCTGATTCTTAACTACTCCAAATCCAAGGCCTGGACAACTAGGCTCAAAACCTGGCTTCATGGCATGTCAATGTTACACACGTGGTTCAATATGGCAAGCTTGCTCAGCCTTCTTATCCTCAAGTGTCAAAGGGAAGAATATCACCTGCCCTGTTGACTCTCAATAAAGTTTTAAGGAACAAAAGAAGAGTGAAAGGAAACATATTTTGCAATCTGAAATATATGGCGTAACTATTACCTGAAATACCTAGCAGTGGACCAAATTCACAAGACTCCATAATATTATTTGGCATTAAAAAAAAACAAACAAAAAACAGAAATGAACAGTAAATCATTTTAACTAGTAAGCCACTTCCTGTCAAAAACACGAAAACATGTGAGAAGTTAAAGCATGTTTCATTATAACCTGGAGAAAACGAAGGAGAAATATCTTTTAAATCTCCTCCTTTAAATTTATTTATTCCAAAGGAAAAGAAAATGTTTCTCAAAAAGTACGAAATTTTTACATGGCTTCAAGGTAAGTTATTAGATAATAGCTACTAACAACGACAGGACCAAGATTCCTTTAGCTGGCTGATCAAATTCTACCTGGCAAAAAATGAGACTCGCCCCGGGTAGCTACTAACAGTCAAACATTTTAAGTCAACACTAAATTGTGAACCAAAACCTGATTTTTAAATAGGAGCAAAACTTTTTAAGCTAAAAATGAGGCCGACACTTCATAAACAAGCAATTTAATGAATAAAAAAGCCAACTGAAAGTCCATGTACTCCATTTATAAAACCATCTCACTTAAGCGTGCTATCATCTGCTCTTCTTGTCAGCATGCACATCTACATTGTTCTAGTATGGGTTAAGCAAGGCTTTAGCCTTTACCATAGAAATGTTTTGGCAGTTTAACCATGATGGAAATCAGAGCAGATGTTTTATGAACCTAGTCTTTTGCTTATATCAACACAACCCAAAGATTTAACAATTTATTAACAACAGTCTTCTATTGTAATCTACTGGGAATCCCAACATTGATGAAGAGACTTCTTCAATCATCATCTCCACTGACATGACACTTTGGATATGTGAAATCTGGTCAAAAGAAAATGCAGGAAAATGTTTATATGCTTTTTCTTTAAATTCTGCAAACTGAATTTGGAGTGATATCAATTGTGTTCTTTAGTAGTTCTTACACTTTAGTGTGAAGAATCAGTTGTGGAGCTTGTTAAACAACAGATGCCCTAACCCGTTCAAGACCTAAAACTGCATTTTTAACAAACACATAAGACGAATTATGATGCAGGTGGTTCCTGGATCACAGAGACTCTATAGCACTGATTACAAACTTCCTTTGGTCGGGTAACTACTAGCAGTGCTTCAGGAGTTACACAGTTTTAAAGATTTGGTCATGAACACAAATCAACAAGAAGAGGGGAGGCGGGAGCAGACTTTAAAGCATGATGTTGGCAGTAAAGTAACTGGCATATGCTTGTTGCTTTTGAAATGGTGTCTTACACCACATTATGGATCGAATTTTAGGTTTAGATCTCTTATTTTAGAAGCAGAATGACGTTACAGCACTGACTTACAACTAGGACAGATAATTTGAGGATTCAAATAACCATCTGGGAAATTTTCTGTTGGGGAAAAAAAAAAAAGCATTGACATTTATACCCTGCCTTGTTCCAAAAAAATTTAAAGCCACAGAACAGCTGTTTTGTTAACTGAAACCAATTAAAATTCAAAAGCTTTACTGTACTAATTCTTTCTTTACCAACACTTAGAAACACTAAGTGCTTCTTTACCAACACTCTCAAAACTGACATTTTCAGATGTTGGCAGATTAAGCTATTAAAGAAGGGAAATGATAATTTCCACAGCCAGGGTATAAATCAGCTAATTGGGAAAACAATTCAAAGGCACATGAATCTATTTATGTAAAAAAAAAAAAAATCTAGAGGCTATCCATTTTACACTAATGAAAAAAAAACACACCAAGTTTCTTCTTTTCTTAAAAAATGACCGTCAACAAACATGAGGCAGCTCAGAAACCCTGTGACACAGTTAAAAAAAAACAAACAACACAAAAATACCACTTTCTCAGCAATTATTTCTCTAAAAGGGGTACCAGAATAGGCATAATCACATCAAAAGCCTTCGTTCGCTTTTTCTTTTTTTTTTAAATAAACAAAGAGACAGGATCACCTGAGGTGCCATGCAAACCCAACCAACCACTGTCAACATCCTGCTTTTTTTTTTTTGATGGACCCGGCTCTGCCCAGGGGACAAGCTCAGGTTGTGCGAAGTTTCCAAAACGACGGAGCACAGTATCTCTGTGGCAGTCGTGGGTCTCTAAGCCGTCGGGGTTCATGCCCATTGAATCAGTTCTCCTTCCTAAGGAGTCGTGCAAGTTTGTCAAGTGAGGAGAGGCGTGGGCAGTGGGTCGGGGGGCACCCTCTCTCCCTCCCCTCGCAAGCTCTCCTCAACAGCCACTCTGGCTGGCCCCGGGCATCCCAAACCCAAGAGAAGACCGTGAGTGACAAGCCAGGGCGAGGCTGGAGCCCCCACGGCCCTGCCCCGGGAAGGAGGCCGGAACGGGGGGCGGTGGCTCCCGGCCTCCAGTCCGAGGGGGGCGGATACTGACCCGAGGACGCCAAGGCCGAGCCCAGCAGCACTGCCCAGAGCAGCAGCGTCAGCCCGACCCGGACCCGCATCCTGCTCCCAAGGGCCGCTGCCACCCCCCGGGGCTGTCTCTTCCGCCTCGGCCACCACCAGCTCAGCCGCCGCCGCCGCCGCCGCCACCTCCGCCTCGCCGCTGCGCTTCCTGCTCTGGTCTTCTTCCTCCACCCCTTCCCAGACCTCCCTGCTCCAGCGGGCAGCCAATACGCGTCCGCCGCCGCGTACGCCTCGCCCAATCGTCGCGGCCCTCCCCGCCCACCTCATTGCCCCGCCCCTGAGGTCAAGGATTCGACCAATCGCGACGCGCAGTTCTCACACCGGCTTTCTCGGTTGGACCACGGCCTCAGCGACATGGCCCCAACTAATTGGTGAGCTCCTTGGTTTAACCATCCCGGAATCGGAGCGAGAGTCCGGAATTGGACGAGGGTAGTCACCTAAGAGACTACAATTCCCACAACGCACTTCATGGGCCTCTCGCTCTGGTATGGGCTCCTGGGAAACGTAGTCCGTCGCGGGGCAATATCTAAAAGCGCCGGTTCTGTAGAAGTTAAGAGAATTTAACTAACACCTGAACCAGACGCCCTTTCAAGGCCATGAACCCGGAGGGGTTTTTTGTTTTTTGTTTTTGGCGCCAAGTAAATATCAAGAAGGGGCCTCTCAGGTGGTGCTAGTGGTAAAGAATCCTCCTGCCAATGCAGGAGACCTGGGTTCGATCCCTGGGTCGCAGAAGCACCCCTAGAGGAGGAAATGGCACCCTACTTCAGTATTCTTACCTGGAAAATTCCATGGACAGAGGTGCCTGGCAGGCCACAGTTTGAGGGGCCCTCAAAGAGTCCCCGGGACTGAGCGACCGAGTGCACACACATTATAAGGTTAAGAGTTTGTAGTGTGTTAAGCTCTTCTTACTCTTAGTTTTATTTGGAGTTTGGATTGAGCATAGTGATAACAGCACTCAGGAAAAAATACAAGGGCTAGACTGAGCGAGGTGTTTCTTTTTAACTTAAATGAAACAGTACCTGGTATAGGGATACCGGGTTGGCACTCACTAACCGGCCTCCTCGCCCCTAAAAAACGAAAGGAAATAAATCCTACCAGGTACCAGAAAAAACATCAACTTCTGCTTTATTGATCATGCCAAACCCTTTGACTCTGTAGATCACAACAAACTGGAAAATTCTTCAAGAGATGGAAATACCAGACTACCTTACCTGCATCCTGAGAAATCTGTATGCAGGTATAGAAGCAACAGTTGGAACTGGACATGGAACAACAGACTGGTTCCAAATTGGGAAAGGAGTACATCAAAGCTGTATGTTGTCACCCTGCTTATTTAACTTACATGCAGCGTACATCATGTAAAACGCTGGGCTGGATGAAGCACAAGCTGGAATCAAGATTGCCAGGAGAAATATCAATAACCTCAGATATGCAGATGACACCACTCTTATGGCAGAAAGCAAAGAAGAACTGAAGAGCCTCTTGATGAAAGTGAAAGAGGAGAGTGAAAAAACTGGCTTAAAACTCAGCGTTCAAAAAACAAAGATCATGGCATCTGGCCCATCACTTCATAGCAAACAGATGGGGAAACAATGGAAAGAAACAGTGACAGACTATTTTCTTGGGCTTCAAAATCACTGCAGATGGTGACTGCAGCCATGAAATTAAAAGATGTTTGATCCTTGGAAGAAAAGCTATGACCAACCTAGAAAGCGTATTAAAAAGCAGAGACACTACTTTGCTGACAAAGGTTGATCTAGTCAAAGCTATGGCTTTTCCAGTAGTCATGTATGGATGTGAGAGTTGGACTGTAAAGGCAGCTGAGCACCAAAGAATTGATGCTTTTGAACTGTGGTGTTGGAGAAGACTCTTGAGAGTCCCTTGGACTGCAAGGAGATCAAACCAGTCAATCCTGAAGAAGATCAACCCTGAATATTCATTGGAAGGACTGATGCTGAAGCTGAAACTCCAATCCTTTGGCCACCTGATGGGAAGAATAGACTTATTGGAAAAGACCCTGATGCTGGGAAAGATTGAGGGCAGGAGGAGAAGGGGATGGCCAAGGATGAGATCACCGAGTCGATGGACATGAGTTTGAGCAAGCTCCAGGAGTTATTGATGGACAGGGAAGCCTGGCGTGCTGCAGTCCATGCAGTCGCAAAGAGTCAGACACAACTGAGCAACTGAACCAACTAACAGATCATGTCAATGCTACTTATTTTTACAAGGGTCACCAGATAATAATAATCTGGAAAAGGGGATCAACAGTCTTTGAAAAACCCTTTCACACATTTGTGCTCATCCCTCTCCTTTTGTCAGTTACATTGTTCTCTTCATTGACTACCTAGGTCTTAGGTTGACTAGGTTCAGGTGTCTAGGTTGACATATTTGGAGATAAAGGTGACAGTGATTACATTGCGAAAGTGGAAATAGTCTTGTGTGTTAAGTACCAACTCCAGTATGCTCTCACAAGGTAGCAGGGCAGAGGCTTAATGTTCCTGCTCCTTCATCAAATTGTGTCATTCTGTTTTCCTTAGCATTCACCCGCAGTCAGCTTTTAGGTCTGGAACTTAGACATTCTGAGTTCAGGATTTTGGAGGAGTTCACACTGGACACGAATCTTGATACCGTTTGTGTTCCATCTTCTCTTTTCCAGGAAAAGGATAAAAAAAGTGTTGTTCAACATTCACACTGGAGAGGATGAAGGACAAATACTGTCCCATGAAAAAAGTTCTCTTTTCTAATACTGTCTTACCACCATTCATCTCTATTTTTGTCACTAACAGTGCTTCCTTAGGGTTCCTCTGATTTTAAATTATAGAGTAAAATCTAGTATATTACGTGGCCATTTCCCCCTTTCTCACTGAAAACTTCCCTGCTGGCCCTCATTTTCTCTACTTGCCTGATGCACCTGAATTCTAGCCATGTTCACCAACACCATTCTCTTTCCTCTAACCTAAACTACATACCACGGCCAGATTAATTTTCCTTAAACACTGCTTTCATCTGCTTTTTCAAAATTTTCCAATGGCTGGCTTTGTCATAGAATAAAAAAAAAATTAGAACTTCTACTGCCAAAATAGGAACTTGTACAGACAGTTCTACTTTCTTGGGGGGATTATTGGGAAAGAAACTTCTGCCTTCCACAAGAGAAGCAGTGATTATCTGATTGATAAGATTGAGGAAAGCTCACTGCTTGGTTAAGATCTAACTGCATCTTTTTTCATCTTTTTTTCTTTACTGAGTGCTTCTTACATTGAAGGCCCTATGCTAGGCACTGCAACGACAAATTGCCAACTTCTCTTTTACTATTTTCTTGATTTTTGCATTAACACTCTTTTGTTTTCTCTTGGGCTCCTTTGCCATCTGCCCACTGCTCTGCTGCTGCTTCTTAGCCACAACCCTGGCATCTTCCCAGTTTCACTGGCATTTCATCTTAGATGAGCCTTCTCCTTTCAGGCCAGTCTTCATTAATCCTTATTTCTCTAAGTGTCTGCAGAACAGTCACAAACTTGCCTTTTAAATTGGTGGCAGTTTGCTGAGAACAAAGACAATTATACAATTAAGTATATAGGTATATAGCATTGAACTTGTCATCTACTGGCCTTAGATGATTATTCGTTGATTAATGATGTGTGTGCTCAGTTTTGCATTGTGTCCAGCTCTTTGTGACCCCATGGACTATAGCCTGCCAGGCTCCTCTGCCCGTGGAATTTTCCAGGCAAGAATATTGGAATGGGGTGCCATTTCCTCCTACTCCAGGGGAACTTCCAGACCCAGGGATTGAACCCAAGTCTCCTGCATTGGCAAGTGGATTCTTTACCGCGAGTGCCTCCTGGGGAGCCCTGATTAATAGATACACCTTACCAATAAAGTGTTCTAACAATATTTTCAAAGCACATGTTGTGTACCATAGATTAATCTTAAAATATCTACCATAATTTTATCTTACAGGAAATATTAAGGAGCCCTTGTGCCCCTATTACACAGGAAATTTACTTCACTCCTATTCGCCTCATCTGAAAAACAGATATGTTGATCATTCCCTCTTCACCAGGTCACTAGGTCTATTGTGAAGTTCAAAAGAGATATGGGGTGAGGAGGAGTGATTTCTTCATTATAGACTTGCCTACACACGTTATTTCTTACTGATTTTTTGAGGCAAAGGAGCAAAACAAGTTAAAATTAGTTTTTATTAAGACTGATAAAGTTAGCTTTATTACCTTAATTTGAAAAGGGTTTAGAGCTGCTAAAGCTATTGTCTTAGGTCAGCAATGAGTTACTGACATGTTCTGAGACCTTAACTCCCTGGGGAAATTCCAAGCCTCCTGAGCAGGTCTAAATTACGGTGGGGGAAAGCCAGGTTTATTTTGTCAGCCTGCTACCTTGCATGATGATTAATTAGTGAAAAGGTTGTAAATTTTCCATGGCTTTATCCAGATTGAGCATACACTCCTCAAGGTTTCCTGCCAACATTCCCAGTTAAGTTGTGTACTCAGTCAATTTGCACAAAATGTTAGCATTATTTATTAATTCATAGACTGCTTTACTATTTGCTCAGCTGTCTGTATCCTGTTCTACTTGCTCATGTCAGTGTTCTAGGTCATTGTTACAGATTTCCAAGTTACAGAACACCTTTTTGCTCTGCATTACGACACAGCATAGGACCCAGAGGAGGTAGACAATAAGTGGCTTGTTATTCCATTGTAATTGATGTGACCTTATTCTATTGAAATGAATCAAACAATCCACAACTATTCAGAACCTCCGGAATGTGTTGAGCACGTGAATTCAGCTTGCTCTTCGCTTAAGGATGGTGAGATAGCCCTCAGAGCCTTTTCTTGAGAACAGAGTGGTGATCAGCCTCTCTAGTCAAGTATCCTTGCCCATGTTATTTTTAGAGATCTATTTGAGTTGGCAAAAATGTGTGAAGGCTGCCAGTGCTTGAATTATCGGATCCACCAGTGCAGAATTAGGGAGAGATGAGGAACTGTAGGTTTTCCCTTCAGGGCTTGGAGAAGAAGGTACTTTCTTTCAG